TATATATATGTATATATCGATTTTCAAATAGAGCGTTAAAGTGTTACCAGATAAGATGGCTGACTCCCTGCCGCACGGATCTCTCTCCTCTAACTCATAAGTTGATTTCGTCTAGATATTCATACGTTTATGTATTTACGTATACATAACCTCATTTTTTTAATCCGATCTTATTTAGATGATCTTATTTAGATGTTTTGGACTGGCAAAATAAATTTACTGCGATATCAACAATTTGCAACACAATACAAAATTATATTGAAAACTAATTACAAAATTATGACATAATCAGATTATATATTTATTTTCAAATTAAATTCACGCTATAAGAATAAAAATTACAATGAATTATTAATATTGTATACCAAATTTATGTATATATTGCACTTACATTTTCAATATTATTTCCTTTCCGTTTTTTATTTACAAACTACATTTTTAATAAAAATTGGAAAGTTTTCAGAGTTATTCTCAACCAGCAATATACTTCAAAACTTCAAAAAACTAAAAATATTGTTTTTTAATCAATAAGATTAATAAATTAGAGGATAGAGTTATGTTAAAAGTATCAAATAAGTTTGATACGAATTCTATGTATGATATGCATTCATATGTATCATACTTTCAGAATGTGCTCAAACCTTGCTCAAGTGTCTTTTTATCCTTGTTGCTTACCAAATGTAGAACAAAGGTAACATGATGCCTGAAATTTACTCGGGGAATTTAAATGCGCCCCCCCTCCATGATAAAAAGCATAAAGTAACTAAAGGCTGAAACTGATATGATTGGTCGACAAAAGTTACGCTTACGCAAGTTACGCCTCATGTGACAGCACCCTTAGGTGAAACGCAGCTTACATATATGGGGCATTCTGTTTCACGCATAATGTCCATAATGCATCATTTATCCTTACAAGGAACGATGCAGCATGCGCATCATGTTGAGAGTATATCCTCATAAAGAAAATTTTCCAATCGCATCTCTCTTATACTTCCGGCATATCAGCGCGATATTTGTCGCGCGCGATCCAATGAGTGTACAGCTTTATCAATGTTTTCATTCTAAAGGTATACTCTCATTGGATATCGCACGCGACGAACATCGCACTAGTGTACCGGAGCTATTATAAAAATGCACGTAAAATGTGATTGGATAATTTTCGTTATGCATTACGTTTATGTAGCTATGCAAGTTTGTGTGGATATACTCTGGAAACGGAACGCAGCCATGGATAGAATCTCTAGTTGTTATACAATGGCAACGCCACTAAAGCGAGGAAATACAGACTCTTGTATAATGCATAATACATAAGAAAATAAACCAATTAAAGTCCTCTATTTCTTTCCTTTCTATGAAATAAAGAACTTTGATTGGTTGAATTTCTTATGTGTTATGCATTATGTAAAGCCGATTCTACATTAGTTGCAAGCTGATCGCAAATTTATTGCGACAGCCAATCTAAAACTTGCATTTTGAAATCAACGCTTCATATTAGCTATTATAACAAACTTGCGATCAGCTTGCAATTAATGTAGAACCGGCTTAAGGCCGGAGTTCACATCTTGACGGAAAAGCGGAAAGCAGAAAAGCGGAAGCCAATCGGAACTCGTAGTAATAGTAGTATATTTCGCTTGTTTGCTTCTGTCTTTTCGCGAGTTCTGATTGGCTTCTCCGCTTTCCGTTTTTCCGTCAAGATGTGAACTCGGCCTAAGAGTCTGTGTTCCCCGCTTAACGTATCAGAAGTTTGGAACCTCTGGGCTTATCTCAGCCATCTCAGTTTCTCTCTTAATTGTATAAATGTAGTTCGTGACTGCCTGTGCGCTATAAGTGCGACAAGTTTTGTTAAATAAGTTTGATATGCAATCGTTATCAAAGTAAAATATATTTTCTAATTATTCCTCTACATCTATGCTATTGAAATATAGTGTGATTTCTAGTATTCCTTGGCAGATAAATTTTTCAATCGAGTGTTTTAAGCGAACTTTTATTTTTTTTTTGTCATGGCTGATACACTCGAGTGTATTTACAGCCGGATCGTGTCAGTGTGCGATGGTAAACGTCAATTATACTCAACAGTTCGTTAAGAGTTGGTGAAGTTGCTAGTATCAAGCAACGTGAAACATGGGTGACGATAATGGGCAAACAAACGAGTATCGATGCGGAGATAGGCGCTACTATTAGCGAGCTGGAAGTGCTCGTCGCATCGGAGACGCAGCAGGGTGAAAAGGAAGACGAGGGAGAGGGGAAGGAAAATATATACGACGGAAGGTCTGCGACGAGAATGGAATCGCGGCACCCACGCAAGAATCGTCTACGTAGCATCGTCGGGATATGTCTGTTCCTTGCGCTGACCGGGATCATTTACCTGGGCTATTTTTGTCCCGATCATGTGTGCGCTTTGACAAACCGCGAGATCAGGGAATCTATTGGATTGTCAGAGAGCTTGTCCATCGCCCATGGATCACCTGTCGCTGGTTCCGCTGCGCTCTCTTCAGTTTCCATTGAGCTTGATAGAAATGGTTTGCTCTCGGTACATCCCGCCTTCAAGCTACAGAGCATCCAGGGTAGTCTAGGCTATGATGACATCTTTGCCAATGACACCTTTCAGTTTGATATCAATGCTCACGATGTTATGGTCTTCCTTCACATACAAAAAACAGGTATGTCAAGGAAGTTCCAAATTGCCATGTCTATTGAAAACAAATTTTAAAAATGTTACAAATAATTGAAATATAATGCTCGTAGCTTAGTTGCACAGCAATATTAGAAAGACAGCCAAAGAAAAAAGATAAAGATAATAAATTTAAGTAATATAGTAAATAATTTATTCTCTAATAATTTAAAAAGACAAGAAAGCTTTGTATTTAGTCTTTATCAGCATGATAAACAATAATCAAATAAAAATAAAGATGTTGACACTATAAAGTTATATTGAAGAGACTTTAATGTTAAAATGAACAGATTGTAAATGAATAGACCAAGTAAAAGTCAACAGTAACAGTAAATACAGAGACAATAAAAACTATGTCAAAAGTCAGATAACAAGTGTCTGTTTGCGCTGCTTGAAATCTCCAATAATTTTTGAACTTAAAATGAGATAGACACATATTTGGGCTTTGAAAAAAAAGAAAGAAAAGAGTGCTGAATACAAAAAGTGCAGTAATACAAATAGACCTAATATAATAAAATTATAAATAATAAGAATCTTATTTTTAGACTGTACGTATATAAGAACACAACTAATAAGAAGTAGAAATTAAATACCTACAACAGTTAAATCTTTAATACTTAAATAATTCAGTGTGAATTATATATCAGTAGTCAAGGTGTATCATTTTAATTGACGCACTAAAATATCTCTTAAACAGTGCATTTTGGAGAAAAATGTTTCAGACAAAAGTTATATGATTTGAAAGGGGACATAGATAATAAGATAGTGCTATTGATTTAACCTTAGAAAGTTATTTGAAGGTCATATAGAGGTCATCAATTTCTTAAATAGAATCCCATATTTCATTCTTGTAGCTTACAAAAGCTTTCCAGAACATGTTATAATGAAATTATTTTTAATTAAGTACTTTTCAAGTTATAAGCTTCAAAGGTACAACACCGCATCAATATTATCCAAGGTGTCTGATTGATGGTTAAAAACCTCTTGAAAGTTGTTCAGGATCATGACTTAGGTAACATTTATCAAAATCAAGACCATTGGAGGTTGTATCTCTTATTTTCATTTTTACATAGAAATGTAATTTTTAGTGCAAAAATAAAAATAAAAGGAACAACCTCCAAATCTTAATCTTGACAAATGTTATCCAGATCATAGTCTTGAATAACATTCAAGAAGTTTTAGCTATTGATGCTGTAATTTGCAAACCTTATAACTCGAGAAGAACATTAAAATGAACTTAATTATAATGTTTTGGAAAACTTTCAAGATTATAATGTTTTGGAAAACTTACAAGAATATGCAATGAAATATATGGAATTCTATTTAAGAAATTGATGACCTTCAAACAACTTTTCAAAGTCGAATTAATAGCACCATCTTATGTCCTCCTCCAAATCATATAACTTTTAAATTTGTCAAACGTGGCTTAAATATACAATATATAAATAAAATAGCAAAAAAGCCACACGCTGAATGTCGTTAGCGAAAGTCATATATTTAAAAATTCCTCAAATTGACATAAATAAACATAAACGTTTCGGCCAAGATGTTATCTTCAGTATGTAAAATAATTAAATAAGTAAAATAATAAAGTTACAACAAAATTAATTACATAAATAAACGCAGAACATAAAATAATTGATTTTCTAGCAAGAGTTGAGCCAATTAATTCGATCAATTAATTCGTCAAGTTAATCCTCATGTATTTGATCTAATTAAGATTGCAGTGTATCAAATTTACCAAATTCTATGATATCAGACAAAAAAAAATGTGCGAAAATAATGAAGACACAACAATTTTGATTCAACGTGATAAAATAAATTCCTTTAGACCAAAGATACGAGGATTAATAACATCCAGCGTGTGACTTTTTTGCTATTTTATTTATATATCGTATAGCTTTTTACATTTTTCTTTAAAATGTATTCTTTAAGAGATATTTTGGTGCGCCAATTAAAACACCCTGTATATACATGCATATGTGTATTATAGTTATACGAACTATAATAAAATTATAGTAAAAATGACCTTATAATAAAAATATCATCAAGTCGAATAATAAAAGCAAGTCCCTAGAATTAATAAAATTGCGATAACTTCGTCAGTCAGAGGCGAGAATTATACAAAATCCAAATTCAAGTTTATGATAAAACGTTCCAAAAATTGTAGAAATAAAAAATTTTAAAAATAGTCGATTTTATAAGAATAAAACTTAATTAGTTAAGACACTAAAAAGAAAAATACAATTAAATGAACTAGAAAAGAATATTATAAATTAAAAAAATTAATTATGAAATTAAAATCATGTGAAAAACAAAAGAATGATTAAATTAGAAAAAATAAAAAATAATTAAAACGTAAATCAGAAAAAATAATAAATAATTTACAAACTTTAGGCCAGTCACTTTAGTATTTAAAAAGGAAAATAATTGCCAATAGACTATTTATTGATTTAAATGCTTTATTTAGGCGTAAATATTATAAGTTTCATTTCACGATTTCGGAAAATGGTAATATAAACTGGTACGATTTTTTCACTTTTTATGCTATATCTATGAAACTATATAGAAATTAGTAAAAGTTGTTCAATATTTTTTTTCCCTTTTTTTCGAATAATTTGAGATGAAGTGGAGCTCTGTGCGATAAATAATTTCGGAGATACAGTAGTTTCAGTGAAAAAAGGTGAAAAATGCCCATTTTTTATATTTTGCCTTCGCAAATGTTTTCGGTGTCTCGGACAAGGAAAGTACATAGAACATTGTTTGAAGTAGACTTTATGACGAAAAAATGTGAGTATGAAGCTCTCTGTGATTAACAGAACTGAAGATATGAAGTTGTGAAGTTGGGAAATCGATTTTTCTTAGATATCCACTTTTTAATTTATAAATTGCTCTTTGCTTACACAGAAATTTTTTCTTGTACCAAATAAGTGCTCAACACCTTCTTACATACAATTTTGAAAATACCGCCTCTTTTTATAATATGGCACGATCTTCCTGCGCCACTATTACGCGGCTAACGTTTCGCGCGGAAGATGTAAAATTTCATTGTAATTCCAATGAACACTTTTATCAAGTGTTATTCGAATCAAGGTTATTCGAATTGTTAGTAGATATTAATTGATATTGTTCCAGAACAGGTAAGCAAACTTTTTACACATTTGGTAAGCAAAAATATAAAGTAGTTAAATATATAAACAATAATAAACAGGTTATGTAGTCTGATGAATAATGACAAAAGAAGGAGAGTACTTTATGCGAAAAAGAATACGCTGATGCAAAAAGATCGAGTCAAGTTTCGAGAGATTCAATCATTTATACGTCGAAGTCAAAAGAGAGGAGATAATAAACATTTGCTCTTAGAAGGACTGACAAGTATTGTAATTCATGAGGCATGTCGCAAAAATTATTCACATTTACATGGAACTGTTGCTGCAAAATGAAAGAGAGAGCGTTCGGAAGAAGAAACTGCGTGAAGAAAAATCTTCTCGACTTTCTGCTTTTGATTTTATCAATTTGTGCTTCTTCTGTGGAGAAGATGCATCTGATAAATTTATAGCGAACATTCAAAAATGTAAAAAGCTTAGCGGTTTTTCTGTTGACATGGTAAAATCTAATAATATTAAAGAGAAATTAATGCAAAAAGTAGCTGAGATAAATGATGAATGAAGAGAAGTTATTATCAAACGTACGAACGTTGATTTGCCAAAGGTTCAGGCGCGGTATCATCGAAAATGTTATACTCAATTTTTAAAAGATACTAGATCGAAGCAAAGATTTTTTGAACGACCTGTTAGTGATGAACTAAAACAATAATGGATTACATTACATATTTTCTTTTCTCGAAATCAACAAAGAAAAGTACCAAGTTTTCTTTGGATGAGATTCTAGCGGATTATGATGGGCCTCGACCTTCTACAGATAAAATTATATACGCTCATTTACAGAAAAAGTATGGTAGTGATGTGTTAATATAAAATAACGAGAATGAAGAATCACAAACCAGTAATTTTAAAGATGCAGTACTACGAATTTTATCGAATGATTGGTGAATGAGAATGAAGACGAGCTTCTCAAAAAGGAGAAAATAATTAAGGCAGCAGCACAAATAATTGTTGACATACGTTCACAGATTTACAATATGAATGAATATCCATCTCCTGATAATTTTTTTGATCAAGCAGAAAACGATGTGCCAAAGTCTTTGCTTACATTTTTAGAAACTATTATATTGAAAGATAAACATTCTGAGAACTTAGAGAAGTGGAAATAGAAAATTTTAACTATAGCCCATGCCATAGTTTCTATAAAGCGATCTTTTCTGTCGTCCATCCAAATTGATTTATCTTCATTATTACTAAAAAAATTTGAGTCGAACTGTTAAATCTTCTTTCGGCAGGAATATCAGCTTCATACAAAGAGGCTACATTATTTGACGTTTTAGTTATCACACACCTATCTGAAAAATACTTGCCAAGCGGTTTTACCTAATTTATTTTCGATAACGTTTGCATGATGTTTCGATAACGTTTGTTGGATGGCTACAATACTTTGTATGCAATGGCAGGAATTCAATGTACAACTCCACGTGTTAAACACATAGTATCATTACTACATAATATCATTACAATTAATTCCACGATTGAAATCAATGCCATTATCGCTAATTGATAAATTTGGAGCAATTATAAAACTGACCAAAAGTCAGTTCATCTACCAAAAAGTGAAAAAAGAGGGCTTCACGATCATAAAAATGAAAAACTTGAAAATGGTATTATGAATTCTGTTAGAGGAATTTTTTTATTTGTAACAATGATTTCCTATGGCTTTATTTATAAAAAGTGGTGCCAAAGAGACGGCGGTGAGAAATCTCCTGGCTGAAATGGACATATGGAAACTATCACAAAGAGTCAGCCATATGAGGTCTCGAGTATTCTCTATTTATCTATCATCAATAATCTATCAAGTGACTATAACACTATTTACACG